CTTTGTGTCTGGATTGCCCCCAGCTGTCAGGGAGCCACTGGGGCTGGCCTGCCAGGGCCTGGCCACCCCCCGCCCCCTCAGCTCAGCTTCCCTGTGGAAGCTCTAGCGCCCCTGGGCTTCTGGCCTGAGCTAGAGCAGGCATGTGCCAAATGTCTATCCACTTGCACACTGGTTCACTCTCTGCAGGTTAGACTTACCTGCAAAGACTGAATCAATTCAGGCTCAGGGTTTTGAATGTCTGTCCCTAGCCTAAGTGTCCATTACAGATTTGGCATACGTGAGGCCAACTGCTTGAAGCAACACATAACTCTCCTGTTACTAAATGGTCAGGGATTTTCCTTTTGTTGAATTTCCTCATAGAATTTTAACTGAACTGGCTCATGAAAAAGTGTTACTTTCTTCAGTGCATATTCTGTACGTGGTGCATTCACTTGACTTTACTGGAAGGCTGTTCAGTAGCATTTCAAATAAGTAGCATGCATATTGAAAGTAGGAAGAATGTCTAATTCCTCAGAAGCAAAATGTTACATAGACATTACCTCTTTGAAGAAGGACCCATAGGCCAAGATTTTTAAAGCACTACTAATGCCCTATTACAATATTCTAGTAGGTATTTTAATTACTTTCTCTTCTCACATTCTTTACTGCTATGCTCATTAGCATGAAAAAAGAATTAAAAAAAAATTTAAGTTCATTAGTTCCTGCTGCTTATTCCCTATAATCCCTTGTAAATTTGACTGTGATGCCATTCACAATTGGAGGATTAGGAAGGACAACTTCAGGTGGGAACAAGCAGCGTTAGTAGCAGATGAACTTGTATGCAATGAGGGAACAGGCTATATGCCATACCCATATCAGCACTCTCAAAGGCAAAGGAAAACCTGTGAAACTTAGATTCACACGTATCCAACTGTTGTATAGATTTCTTAAATCTTTCTGCAGCCTTCCCACTCCCGGACCTTTCTAGTTCAACCTGTTTTGATTCAAAGAGGCAGGAACATGCAATGTCAGCCTCCCCCCTACTGATTCATTTGCAGGAAGGACTATTTTGCTTAAGAAAACAACTAAGAACTAATAACTGGCAGTCTAGCTATTATGCAACCTTGGCTTCACCTTTGGAGAGCAAACTACCCAATTTAGTCAGCTATCTGCATTGATGCCTACTTTTTAAAAAATGGAGTAAGTAGTTGTGTGTGTTTTTTGTTTGACTATCTTGTGATATAGACCACAGGGTTGCTAATAATTTAGATTCCTTATGGAATATGGCCTGGGATGTTGTGCAGGGCTATGGAAGGAGAGGCAAATCCACAAATGAGCAGGGAAAGTGTTCCCTTCACTAAGGTGGCTGGCTGCTCTAATGAACAGCTGCACAAGTCCAATCAGTCTTTCCACAAATGGGCTTTTTAACACCCAAGTTCATTCCAACTAATATCCAGGCAGGCTAACAAGATCATCCTGAAGACTCATGTGTCAAATGGTATGCTTGCACTGTGATAAAACAGGCTTCTGCTTTATCACTGGTACAGTAGTGGTGAAATATGGGGACTCTTGTGCTCTTACTGACCAATACACCAGAGCTTCGGAGGCCAGCTATAGCTTAACCTTCCAGTGGTCTCCTCTAAGCTCTCAGAAGTGGGTTACTATGCAGAACAGCTAGGCCATAAATTGTGTCAGTCATAGATGCTTGCTGTTTGTTCAGTCCACTAAGAATATGATGCTTATTGAGAGACAGGAAGGAAGAATAGAACATTTTACTTTCTTAATTGGATCTAGCCTTGTTAGAAGAGCACTCCTCACCTGTTCTAAATACCTTAGACCTGTTCTAAACACCTTATCTTAATTTTGCTCAACATTCATATATATTTTTTAAAATAAAAGTTGTCCAAGATACTTGTATAAAATAAATAGAACCCTGACCGCCAAGCTCCCATCAAGGATGTGGGCTAAAGGCTTGGGTTTGTTTTTGACTTTAAAGTGAATCTGGCTCATTAGAGTGGTGAGACAAGAGCCAGACTCTGAAAGGTGCTGAACTTCTAAGAGAGCAGGCAGCTCATATATTTCTGTTGGAGATTGGGGTATCCACTGTAAAGGAACTACCTAAAATATACAAATACAAGATCCTAAAGGATGAGGTAAGGACAGCATGTTCTGTGCCTATATAGGTACAGGTAAAGGTAGGTTCATTTTGCTCTGAGTATGTGAGCAAACAAGTATATTTTAAAAGGTTGACCCATCCCTCTTCGGAAGTAAGGCTGTTTTTTTGCTGCAGCTTTCTGAAGGTCATGGCTTTACAGAATTGCTTCACTAACCATAACTTAACAACATATTTCTATTGCTGTCCTTAGGAACTAGGGGACCCAGAACATAGCGAGACACATTCATCTAAATGAGCCCTGCTGGTAGTGCTATTTAACTACACTAGAACTAAGGCAAAGAAAGGCAGGTTATCCATGCACCAAAACACCGTACGGCTTTTATAAGTA